CCAGATGGGAGGGGGTGTGATGGAATAGGTAAAGTGATAAGGGGATTAAGAGGTACATATAGGGAGCTACAAAATAGCCATGGGAATATAAAGTACAGTATAGGAAATGGAGTAGCCAAAGAACTCATATGCATGACCCATGGACATGAACAATGGTGTGGGGATGGCTTGAGGGAGTGGGGATGCTGGGTGAAGGGGAGCAAAAGGGGAAAAGTTGGGACAACTGTAATAGCATAATCAATAAATTATAATTAAAAAAAATGGATAAGCCAAATGCAGTCTATACATATAACAGACTATTACTCAGCCTTAAAGAGGCAGAAAATTCTGTAATATACTACAACATGAATGAATCTTGAGGGCATTATGCTAAGTAAAATAAGCCAGTCACAAAAGGACAAATACTGAATGATTCCACAATACATACATAAGGTAGTTAAATTAGTCAAAAATCATAAAATCAGAAAGTGTAATGGTAGTTGCCAGGAGCTCTGGGGAGGAGTTACTGCTTAATAGGTATGGTGTGGAAGTTCTACAAGATAAAAAAAAGTTATAGGGACGGATGGTGGTGATGGTTGTACAACAATGTAAATGTATTGTATTTAATACCACTAAACTGTACACTTAAAAGTGGTTAAGATGGTAAATTTTATGTGTATTATACTACCCCCCCCAAAAAAGTATCCAGATCCCCGTTCTGGGATCTTATCTTCCAGCCTGGGCCTGTAACAGGGCCACAAGCACGGGCACTTCTAATAGGACCAAGATCCATTCAAAACAATTCATCTCAAAAGTTCTGGGGATGGATGGTGGTGGTGGTTAGACAACAACGTGAATGTACTTAATGGCACCAAACTGTACACTTTAATATGCCTTAAATAATACATTTATGTGATGTATATTTTACCATAATTTAAAAAAAAATTCTTAGCCTGAACTGAACAGAGGCTGCAGAGGTTTTGATTTCTCTGAAACTTGGTGAATAAAGCAATCAGTAGGAAATGGTACGTGTAGCACTCTCATTCCAGTTCTCACTGCCTACTTGTGACCTTGAGATAACACCACATAACAACTCCAGGAGTAATGAGCAAATCTCAGTATGTTGCTTCCATTTAATGCAACAAGTATTTACTACATTATATACTATGTGCAAATTACTGTTTAAAGAGTACCAAATAGTACAGTAAATTAGAGTATAATTCAATTCAAGATGAAGTTGCCAGTGGACTTAAGCAGTTCTTGAATATTTGTGACCCTGACTCTAAGAAATGGGTTCCTTTTAAGCGTAGAATCACCAGAATGCTCATACATACATTCAGTGAAGATCTGCTTCTCTTCTAAGAATTTGAGTATTTGCAAGATTACAACTAATGAAGCAAAACCTCATAAGGGAAAACGTAGCTCTCTCTACCATATAGTGCAATGAAACAGTTTAATTTGAAGGTAGTATTGTCAAAGGGAGACTAAGAATTGTGTAAAACACCCAAGTTTACAGGGTAGGTATGTAGTCTACATGATGTGCTCTATCTAGAGGTTTTGACCCACTGTCAAAAACAAGTTAGAAATTTTTAATTATAAAATATTAAGTTCACTGAATAAAAAAAGTTAAAAACTGAAATAAACAACAGGAGTTTCCCCATTTATTCTTTCAGCTCAATTTTGATAGACAATATACTTTTAGAAATATTATATCATTAAAATATGAATAGTATATTATATGTATTTCAACTCCCATTTTCCCCCATTTTCCATAACTTGGACATCTCTATTCCAAGATAGTCCTTTTTTTTGTTTTTAAGATTTTGTTCTAAATTACATTATATAAGCTATAGGAACAATGTAACACAATTCTTCATAAAGAAAGTATTTTCTTTCCACTCTGTGATGGTTAAATTTTGTGTCAACTTGGCCAGGCTATAGTGCTCAGTTGTACAGCAAATACTAGCCTAGATGTTAATATATAGGTATTCTATAGATGTTGAAAAACATCTGCAATCAGTTGACTTTAAGATTATGCTCCATAACAGGGGTAGGCCTCATTCAATCAGTTAAAGGACTTAAGGAGAGGGGGGAGCCCCAAGGTTTCCAAGAGAAGAATCCTGACTCAAGACTGTAAGAAAAAAATCCTGCCTGAGTTTCCAATCTGCTAACCTGCCCTACTGAGCTACAGATTTCATATTAATCAGTCCCTCACAATCACCTGAGCCTAGTCCTTAAAATAAATCATATACGAAGTCTGTCTGGAAAAAGTTCAGCCATTGTTTACATAACGAGATCAGATTGTGTGACATCTATATAAGCTGGAAGCCAAGGAGAGTGGACCAGAATGTACATGCATGAAGAATGACAACTTCACTGTACTAGCCAGTGAGGGCAGTAGATACCATTGAGTATGTGTACTGTGTGGCTGTCACATTGAAAATTACTGAACAAATAGAGCAATGAATTTGCATCAAATTTTCCATTAAGCTTGAACGTTCCTCCAGGGGTGTTTAAGAAGGCTCAATGCAGGACAATGCAATCAATGAGTGCAGCACAAATAAAAGTGTGGCACAAATGCTTCAAAGATGGTCGAGAATCTGTTGAAAGTGATCCACATTCTGGAAGGCCTACAATAAGCAGAACACCTGAGAACGTTGAATGTGTATGGGCTGCAATCAACAAAGATCAGAGACTGACACTGCAAGAACTAGAAGCTGACCTATGGAATCCAAAAACTACTGTGTTCGACATTTTGACGCAGCATCTTGGCTTGAAACGTACTGTGGCAAAAGTTGTTCCATAGCTTCTGCTACCAGAGCGGAAGGAACATTGTGTTGCAGTTGCTAATAACTTGATTGAAACTGCTACCAATGAACCAGATTTCCTCAAGAAGGTCAAACTAAAGATGCATTGTCAGTCTACAGCTATTATCTGGAAACGAAGGCCCCATTCTCCCATTGGAAGTCACCTGGCTCTCCATGCCCAAAGAAGGTGCAGCAAAGGTACAGCAAGATCCTGCCCTGGCTGGCGTGGTTCAGTGGATTGAGCACGGGGCTGCAAACCAAAGGGTCATCAATTTGATTCCCAGCCAGGGCACAGGTCTGGCTTGCAGGCCAGGTCCCTGGGGCGTGGGGGGGGGGCGGGGGGGGGGCGGGGGGGCGGGGGGGACACTCGCGGCGCACGCGAGAGGCAACCACACAGCAAAGTTGCAGCGAGATCAAGACCATGTTAACTGAGATTTTTGATCAGGAAAGTGTCCATCATGAGTACGCTCCTCCAGGCCAAACAAAAAGGAGTACTACCCGATGTTCTGCAATACGATGAAAATGGCTGCAGCTATGGGCAATATGATCGGCAGCTTCATCACAACATGCCTGTTCATGAATCACATCTCATGCAGAGGCTTTTGGGGAAACATCAAATCACCCAGGTGGCTCAGCCTCCCTACAGCCCAGATTTGGCACCCTGCAATTTCTGCCTTTTTCCAAAACTAAAATCACTTTTGAAAGGGAAGAGATTTCAGACTATTGATGAGATTCAGGAAAATACAAAAGGGCAGTTGATGGTGATTTCGAGAAAGGATTTTGCAGAGTGTTTTGAACAGTTAAAGAGATGCTGGGAGAACTGTGTGAGGTTCCAAGGTGTCTACTTTGATGGGCAGTGAGGCATCATTGTCCTACGTACGATGTTTCTTGTATCTTATATCTTTTTCAATAAATGTCTCTATTTTTCATAGTACATGGCTGGCCGGATACTTTATGCACAGACCTCATATGTATACACACACACCTACTGGTTCTGTTTCTCTGGAGAACCTCAATGCACACCCTTTAAACCCATTATCTACTTACTATATTTATGCTTTTTTCCTAAGAAATGAGTTCATGAGATACATAGGAGTCTGCATCTCAACTTTTTCCTACATAATAACACATATGGACATCTTTCCATGTCAGCAGGCTAAGATTTAACTCACTCTTCTCGTGTGCCGCACCGTAAGCCATTATATGGGTGGACCAGTTTACATAAGGAGGGAACATGTAGGCATAGAGGTTGTTTCCAATTTTCTTGCTCTTGGTGCTTTTGATTCCATTATTTGCATTGAGCTTTCAAGGAGCAGATTATACTCTGCCCTTCTCTTTTACTCACATGCTTGGCTTCCATAGGATCTGCTTACAATCTACTGAAAATTTACCCTGTAGCTTTTCCCAGCTACCACTTTAACAATAAATAGCCTGGATTTAAAGCCAAATGTGTCTAAACAGGTGCAATAATCCAAGTGAAAGTTCTACTATTCAGGCATTTGAGACACACCAGCAGCCAGCTGTTCTCACTGACCTTCATACAAAATCAGTATGACTGTGTCATTTAATCTCTTATGTAGGAGAACTGAAACAAAAAGTATCCCTCTTTTTTTCCAATTCTGTTTTTTAAATAAACTACTATGTTTAATTCAAGTGTTAAGAAAACAGGAAACTAGAAAAATTAATGAACCATGTTTATGTTTCATCCACTGGCTATTTTATACGAACCAGAGGAACCTCTGACTAGTCTACAGTTAACCAAGGTCCCCAGCTTCTGCCTTGGGCCAGCAAATCAAATGCTGAAGAAGGACTGAGAGTACTTGAAAGTTCAGGGCACTGATGTCATCACACTGGTGTTCTCAGTCTTCAGGGTGCCTTGCCAACCCAGCCCATGAAGCAAATTCATTAGCCTCTACTGAGCGGCAGAGTATTTCCAATAATAGGAAGTCACACAGGTATCGAGGCAGTAAGATGATCCCAACAACTTCTCTAGGCAGAGAGAAATGCCGGCAACCTCTTTCACAAAAGCTACTTCTACTCCAGCTTTCTGGACTCTTTGGAGAGTACTTTAGTTTAAATGTTTCTATTTATCTGAAATAACCACAAATCATTTTTATAATTATATATTATTCCAGTTTATTAAATAATGAATCAACAAATTCCACACACATTCCAACAAATAAAGAGCTTTAAATAAAACAGCTTGAAATATAAAGGTTTATAAAGACTTTATAGCCTTTATATGATATATACTATTTTTAGCACAAGAATAAATATGGAGAACAGGAGGCATTTTTATATTACAGATCAGCAACATTTAGCATTAATGATTAACACAAATCCACAAGCAAACAAAAGAATCCATTTTTTTCATTTTGGTTATAAAAGCTAAAAATCCTTTTGCCTAAGCAATATCCAAGGGTGCAGGGAGACTTGCAGCCACATCCCTGAACACAAGGGGACCAAGTCTCCCAGGTCCTTACATTCTTTCTTGGTTAGAAGCTTCAACAATTGCTCTTTCAGAAAGCAGAAAAAATAAAATAGATTAGGATCCTGTCTTATAAAGTGTTTAAAGAAATACTGCATTTTTGTCTTAAAAACATACTTAAGAGTGAGATTTGAATTTATTTTCATTCTGGCATGAACATGTAGATAATTTTAATAAATTGATATAATGTATATTGCATGACATACACTTTTAGAAATGATATATATGCTTAAAAATAAAGTGTTTTCTACATTTTAAAAAAAGAGCGTTCATAAGGATTCTTTAAACTCAAGGAACTCAAAAGTGAAAGCCTTCCTAGAGAAAGCCCTAATCACATCATGGAATGTTTTGGTAAGAAGAAAAAAATTTCCTCTTTATAAAGATATGGTTCAGTACCAGGAGTGAGGCCTGAATGAGTTTAACCCTCCAAAGTCACATCTCGAGAGTGCCAGGGAGATCTGGACTTTTACCTTAGTCTTTAAGCAATTCACATCTACTTACCACTCCACCACCCTCCTGTCTTCCCTTCTCTTTTTAATGACTTTGCCTTAGCTCTTACTTTTGGAAATAAAATTCTGCTCCACAAAATCATTTTTAAGTCAACATTAACAAAGAAGGCAAGATGAAAGTGACTGGGAGGAAAATGCCCAATCCACAAGAAAAACCTGTGCTTCTTCTATTGTGCTTCAAGGGAGGTGGCAGGCCAGGGGCTAGACAAACTGGTATAGGGTAGACACTGCAGAGCGTTTAGCAGAAGTGTCTACTCTGGAGCCCCCAGATAGTACGTATTTATTGTTCTCAAAGGGTAGACCTGAAGCCCATTTCCTGAGGCTGTCTTCTAGAATACAAAGTTCTTGATGCTATCACACTCACTTTATGCTTTGAAAAGAGTAAGATGAAGACAAGAAAGAAGAGGAAGAATGATTTATCTTGTCATTAGGAGAAGAGAAGGAAGATAAATGCAGTACTAAAGGAATAGTTTCTAAAATTTCAAGGGAGTATTTTCCACCCAAACTCTTTAGGAAGTAGAAGACAGGAAATATTTTAACAAAAGTGGCCCAAACTAAAGTAAAAAGTGGAAAATCTGGAAAAAAATCAACTCTTCGATTCCCTTGGAACATTCTGCTAGGGAAAACATAATAAAATCTTATCTTACACAGTGCTCTTTCTCTCACAGGCCTTTAACAAAGGGCTTCACTCTGAATTCTGATGAGTAGTCATAATAAAATGGCTCTTCCATATACACAGACCGTCTCTTTTTGGATTACAGCTGTATGACAGCGTAATGTAAACACACTTACCAAACAAGTAGCAGCAACTAACTTTTTCTTCATTTGACCCTCAACTTCCATAGATGTTATTATCTCCATTTCCAAATTGGGAAATAAAGTTTGCTAAAAATCATAGAGCAAATTACTAGCATGAGCTAAGATAGAACCCAAGCAACCTGAAACACCTCCCATCAACACAGACCTTGCCAGCTTCACGGCCCACATATCACACCATGAGGAGTTTAGATATTAATACTTTGTAACAATTCCTCACATAGGTCAAATCTCCAAAGGCTTAAAATCACTTACTGTAAGTGAAAAATCCTGCCAACATAGGAAGTTACAAAGCAATGCAATACTCCCGAGATCTATTTCCTGCACTATTTCTAGGGTTGAAAAGTTCTGGGTCTCCAAGTGTGAAACTTCTTCAGTGGACAATAAGCAAAAGCCCCCAAGATCAAGAACAATAATACCCTCTTGGAGGCTCTATTCCATGTTCCAGTGAATTTCTTTAGAGTCCGGTACTCTCGGCTATAAGCTGAGATGGATCAGATGCTACTCTCCCCTGAAGAAAACAATATACAGTTCCTGATCTTCTTGCAAGTTTTCTTTAACAAAAAACATGCATTTCATGTTATCTTTGTTGTTGAAGGGCACTTTGATGGTAAAGACTAGTGTTTATGCCATTAAACAGTCAATGCAGAGTGCCTGATGCCAACACACAGCAATCTGAACTAATCCAGTCTTCATCTGTTGCTCACACCTCAAATCTGTGGCGAGCCAAGCAGTGAGAAGCAGTGTGAAACACAGGAAGCCTGACTGTTGTAGGAATTAGCATTTTCAGAGGATATTTCATGCAGCCTTGACTTGTCATAAATCCAATTTCTTCAACTGCTCATATGTCACAAAGAACTACAGTTATCAGTTAAGGCTAAGAAAATTCCATCTCAACCTCAACACATAAAAACAGATTTACAAATGGCACATCTATGAACAAATATATCTGGGCAGACCACACACCATGGACATGACTAAACATGCATGGCTCCATCCTAACCATCCTGAAAGGTCTTCCCAAAGTCAGTTTGGAACAGGAAGATCACAGCTAAGATATATAAATCCCTTAGCATCAGCTCGGAAAGCTTCTTCTAAGATTATACCCACACTGCCTACTAGCTTTTGTGACTTAACTGTGGTGGAAAGACTTTACAGAACAGTAAATTCTGTGTGACAGAGAAACACAGCCAGCCCTGGGAAGCTCTCCTCAAGGGTTTCAGCTAGGCAGGCTTCCACAGGAGGGAGGTACAGATAACCAACATTCCCTACCTTATAATCCTGCCCTTTCATGTTTAATAAACCGCCACTTCATTCCCACCTCCCACTTTGGCATATAGGAAATAGTGCTGATTGGCCAAATAATTCTAGAGCTAGTTACTGTTTATTCTTAGGCACTCTCTAAAATAGCTGTTCCCAACCTTTTTGGCACCGGGGACCAGTTTCCTGGAAGACAATCTTTCCGTGGCAGGAGGGGCAGGGGGGCGGGCAGGGGCATGGTTTCAAGCGCACTACATTCAAGATCACCTCCTGCTGTGCAGCTGGGTCCTAACAGGCCCTGACCCACAGTGGCCCAGAGGTTCCAAACCCCAGCTCTAAAATAAACATTCTAAAACACTACTGCCAAAACACATCCCTCCTAAGGATGGCTGGGGATATAAAATCAATCCTGCCTCTCTCTGAAATCCTAAATACTCTCAGCTTTTAGAACAGAATCTAAATAAAAATTTTTATGGATATCATTACCTTTCAATAACATCATTAAACCAAGATTCACAGTGCCTAGCATGGAGAATTTATACCTCCTGAAAAAGAAACTGAACAGTTATTTCTTGAATCAGAGAAACCTCAAAGATTAAAAACCAACTTCAAAATTGTAATTAATAACATGATAGTTTATAGAAACAATATTATTTTAGCTATATATTTTTTCAGATCTACTACAACAGAAAAGGATACAATGATATTCCAAGGTCCAAGTCTCAACCAATTTGGCCAAAACCCTTTATATAGAGCAAAAAAACCTTCATTCTTCCATGTCTGTTACAAAGGGAAAGAAAAGTTAACTTTCAACTTTCCAATTATGTCAAATGCATTAATAATAATATCCAAGCTATTTTTCTTAAAAATGAAATCCTGTTTGGAAGGACTACATAAGAAATCATTGACCTCTACCTCTTTTTGGTCTTTAAAGTCTTCTGCAAAGGTAAAGATCAAGGCTCCATGCAAAACCATCCCACAACAAAGCGGGCAAACAGCAGTTGAATGATTAAGAAATGAGATTTAATTCCAACCAAAGTCTTTTGCCTCTTTTCCATTTGTGCCAACAAACAACTCAGACATAGAGAAACAAAGCAATGGTGGTAAAGATATAATTCAGATCATCACTATTTCATATTGTTGGATGAATACAAATAAGTATCTTTGCTTCATTAAAGTAATACGTGACGTCTAAGATGTGCCAACATCATGCCGGAAAATGAAAACCATAAAAGCGGTCCCTGAGCTTTGGTTGCTGGCATTTTTAGTAAGGGAAACAGCAGCAAACTTCTGTCCACTCATGAGAAGTAGGCCTATTTAAACTAAGAATTACAGTACAATTGGTAAGTTCTTTTGTGAGATGTCTAACAAAGGATACTTATTCCAGTTTGACTCAATAGGAAGGATATGTATTTTGGAAAGAGACACAGTTCTACCATGATCACAGAAAACATGACTATTTTCTCATCCTTCATATCAAAACAAAGGTTTGAAGAAAATGAGCTTTCATTTCTAAACATTCATATAGATTTTGCATTTATAAAAGTTAGCCCCTGTGTGGGAAAATTGTACAACCTCAGGGCTTTAGAGTATCACTCATCTTACTTAGGAAAGCCCTCAACGTTTAGTTACTTCTTAGGTTAAATAAATGAACAACATATAAATATATACATATGTATATATTAGGGGAGTAGTTTCACTGACTGAAGCAATCCAACAGAATGTTGAGATTAATTAGAATAAATTTGCTTATTTCACAATACTGTCTCTTATTATTATTAATTACACTAACAAGGTTTACCACATTATTCCAGGCACAATGCTGTTTGTAGGCATTATCTCAATTATTTTTACAATAGCCCTATATTATAGATGTTTTCATTGTCCCATATCATTTATGAGGAAATAAGTATAGAGTCTGTACCTTGACCAAAGTCACACAATGACAAGTGACAGATCCATAGATCTATCTTGCTATAAACCCTGTGTTTATAAACCACAGTAAGAAACTCATGATAAGAGGATCAGATAGAAGCTAATGAGCCATGGAAGAATTCCCAACCCTACACAGATGGACATTCATTCTCACCTGTAACAAGCAATCCAGGGTACCTGTGTACCCAGAGCATCTGCCATCACGAAGGACTCTCTGATTCATCATCCGTGTTCTCACAACATCTACAGGGTTGGAAGCCAGGGCTCCCGCCAGACCACAGGTGAAGCTTGAGCTATAAAGAAGATACCACACAAAGGTCACCACCGCCACTGCAAAGGCAGGAAACAGCCTCCTCCCAAACTACGTTAAAATAATATATGACAAGATGAAATATATCAAAAATGAGGATCATAACTAGAAAGCTGCACAAACTTCTTAAACAGCACTACTGATTATTCTGGCTTACAAGTTCCAACCTCAGGTAGTAATACTTTTGAGGTTCTGGAATGTCAAAGAATCACAGAAATGTGAAGGAATATCCTCTAAAGATGATCTACTTACAGGGATTTTCAAGCTTTCTCATTTCATGGCACACATAAACTAATTACTAAAATTCTGCAGCACAACTAAGAATGTACTTTTTGCCAATCTGACAAAAAATCAAGTATAGTTTTGATTCATTCACACCAGACAGCCATTGTTGTGCTGGCTGTTCTCATTTCTTTAATTTGACAGTTGAAGGGAAGAGAGGTCAGTGCTCCTGAAAATGGTTGAATATCACTGATTCATTGCAGCTATTCACCTACAAGTGACATGAGAGTAACTTCAGCCATATCACCACCACATTTTTTCTTCAAGATCAAAGATTTCCTTACTGAAATGCCCACCAGGATCTTTAGGTTCTACTAAACTTTCAGTGTCCTAAAACTGCAGACCACACTTGGTTTCAATTAACTCAGAGCAGCATTTCTCAACTTCAGCACTATTAAGATTTTGAACCAGGTAATTCTTTGTTGTACAGGTCTGTCCTGTTGTAAGATGTTTAGCAGCTCCCTGGCCTCTACCTAGCAGATACGAATAGTACTTCCTACAGTCTCCAGAAACAGCCAAATGCCCCTAAGGGGCAAAATCACTCCTCAATGATTAAACTATGATATATCCATACTAATCTGCAGCTATTAAAAATAAATGAAGTCTGTACTGCTATAGAAAGATATTTGGAATATATTATTAAATTGTAAAAACCATGTAAAAAAGACAAATACTGCATGGTATCACTTATACATGGAATCTAAAACCAAACAAACAAAAACTAGTCCACTCATAGAAACAAAGAGTAGAAAAGTGGTTGCCAGGGCGAAGATGATAGGGTACAGACTTTCAGTCAAAAGATGAATAAGGTCTGAGGATCTAATGTGTAACATGGAGACTAGAGTGGGTAACACTGCATTATATAATTGAAATCTGCTAAGAGAGTAGAACTTAAATGTTTTCACAGATGCTCACAAAAGGGTAAACATGAGGTGATATATTAATGTAATGGAAAAAAATCTTTTCACAATGTGTATATATCAAATCATCATGTTATACACTTTTTCTTTCAATTTTATTTGTCAATTGTATCTCAATAAACTTGAAAAATAATAATAAAGGAAAGCAAGGAAGGGGATGCAAAGCATGATCTTTGTGTAATAAAGTATATGTAATATACTTTTGTAGACATATTTGCATAGGCATAGAACACCTGGAAGGTACTTATCAAACTGTTAACAACTGCTCCCTATGTAAAGGGATAAGGACTTTTATTTTTTCCTGGTTCACCTCTGTAAAGTTAATTTTTCAAATATGAGAATATATTTTTTATAATAAGTTTTCTTTAAAATTTCTATAAATGTGTGGCAAATTTCCACCCTAAACTCATGTATATCTAAAATATTAATTTAAAAATCCATAAACATACAGGAAATGAGTATACACAGTGTCTCCCATCAGGCCTGAGAGAATCAGATGCTTCTTGGTCAGGTCATAGACTGGTAGCTCCACGCCAACAACAATAGCAGCCCTCTGAGCAGTAAGGGACACACCCTGAATAAAAACATTAATAATAATGATTCAGATCTCTCTCCATAGAAGAAGCCTTGCAGATGTGCAAAGGTTCTACTCCACAAACTATGGCCAATATTTATGTTTTCCTGCTGGTAGGAAGAAATACACAGTGACAAAGTAGAAAAGACCAGAGTATAAAAAGTCAGAAGCTCCCAAGTCAAATTCTGATTTTGTCACTAACTGTGCAAACTTGACCAGGATAAGTCACCTCTTAGAGCCTCCAGTTTCGTTATATATACAGAGAGGATTGTGCTGGGGGACGTTTAGGGACTACTAAAAAAACCACTAGTAACAGTCTTCACTTAAAAGGCATGAAACCACATGCATCATAAAATTCAACGTCACTGTGACTTACAAACTCCTTCTCCATAAAGAATTAAAAAAAAAAAAAAAAAAAGCAAACAATGTGCTCAACCTTCACATAATTTCTTATATATGAATTATTCAAAAGGTACTTTCAAATCATGACATATTCCCTATATTTCCATTTTACAGAAAAAATACCTTCAAGGGTAGATGTCACTCTTCTTCTCTTACTCCATTATACCATTTGGATTAAATAAAACGATGAACATAGGAAACATAAATTTTAAAGGAAACAAAGGGAAGAACTAAGTCAGTTGGATTCATACTCAAGCTTACCTTCCACAGTCCTCTCGTTCCCTCTTGCTGGTAAATGTTGATGAAGTTGCCTATCATTCCTCCTTGAATGGTGTTGCTTTGTGCTTGCATCCGTATCTAGATTATTTCAAACATTAACATTATCTAGAGATTATTTTAAAGACTAACATGAGAAGGAAACTAGCACATTTCTCCCCAAACAAAGATCTCTAAAAATCATTCAATCTGTTGTTTAACAACCATTAAAAGAAAAAAGAAACTATAATTATAAATATTACTATAATACTAATTCAAAATATCCTCAGTAGACTAAAAATATATAAGGATTGGTTCTTAGGCACTTTGGATTAAACAAAAAGCATCCAATAAAGTATAGAACGTCTTAAACATAATAGCTCATTAAGTATCAAAAAGAAATTAATTTTTTAAAAATAGTCTTTGAAAAGTAAAGAACATGGTATTTTTCCCTATAGATTACTAAGTAGGAAAGAGAGAATATGATGGTAATTCTAAATATTTAACATAATTAATAAGAGTATCCAGTGTACTTAGCAACAGCTAGCATGAAAAAGCATATTTCTTTAATTAGTTACTCCAACTCACTATTATTTCCAACCACTGGACAGCCACATAATGTCCATCACAGTCTGTTTCACTTGAATTTATAAATGAACTTTACAATACCATAGTATTCACGTGACCAAGGTTGTGACATAAAAATGTCTGATGTAACTCTGCATTTTTAAGAATGAAAAGGCAATTCTCACTAAAAAGATTGGTACTTTATTTTGGTTTAGGGAGCAAATACATCACTCTAATTTTTTTTAATATATTTTATTGATTATGGCATTATAGTTGTCCTAATTTTTCCCCTTTACCCCCTTGCTCCTGATACCCTGCTTCCCTCCTTCAATCACCTCCCTTAGTTCATGTCCATGGGTCATGCGTGTAAGTTCTTTGACCCTTCCATATCCTGTACTATTCTCAACATCCCCATGTCTATGTTGTACCTACCGATTATGCTTCTATTTCCTGCACATGTTTCCCCATTCTTCCCCTTCTCCCTCCCAGCTGATAATCCTCCAAATGATCTATATATCTATGACTCTGTTCCTTTTCTGGTTGTTAGCTTAGTTTTTTTTTTTTTTTAGGTTCAGTAGTTGATAGTTGTGAATTTGCTGCCCATTTAGTGTTCATTGTTTTGATCTTCTTTTTCTTAGACAAGTCCCTTTAACAAGATTTCATATAATAAGGGCTTGGTGATGACGAACTCCTTTAGCTTAAACTTGTCTGGGAAGCACTTTATCTGTCCTTCAATTCTAAATGATAGATTTGCTGGATAGAGTAATCTAGGTTGTAGGTGCTTCCTTTTCATCACCTTGAATACTTCTTGTCAGTCCCTTCTTGACTGCAAAGTTTCTTTTGAAACATCAGCCGATAATCTCATAGGAACTCCTTTGTAAGTCACTCTCTGCTTTTCTCTTGCTACTTTTAAGATTCTCTCTTTAACCTTTGGCATTTTAATTACGATGTGTCTTGGTGTCCTCTGTGGGTCCAACTTGTTTCAGACTCTCTGTGCCTCCTATACTTGTATCTCTATTTCCTTCACCAAATTAGGAAAGTTTTCCTTCCTAATTTGGTGAAGGAAATAGATTTCTCGCTCTTCCTCATCTCCTGGCATCCCTATAATTCAGATGTTGCTACATTTAAAGTTGTCACAGGGGTTCCTAAGGCTATCCTCGTTTTTTTAATTCTTTTTTCTTCCTGGTGTTCTGATTGAACGCTTTTTTCTTCCTTGTGTTCCAAATCATTTGATTATTGGCTTCATCTTCTCTGCTGTTCGTTCCCTGTAGATTTTTACACTAAGTAAAATAAGGAAAAATCTTTATTTCTTCCTGGGTCTTTTTTATGTTGTTGTCATACTCGATGAATTCTTTTGAGCATCCTGATCACCAGTGTTTTGAACTCGGCATCTGATAGGATGGTTCTCTCTTGATGTGTTTAGTTCGTTTTCTGGGGTTTTATTCTGTTCTTTCATTTGGGCCATATTTCTTTGTCTCCTCAATTCAGCAGCCTCCTTGTGTTTGTTTCTGTGTATTAGGTAGAACTGCTTTGACTTCCTGTAAAAGACACCTGTAAATTGTGTGGGGTGGAGCCTTAGGTAATCACCAGGGCAGGGCAACCCACTTAACCACGTTGTGGCTTTGTGTGTGGAGAAGGCTCAGAGAGGGGACAATGCCACTGTGTGGCTTCTGGAGGTTTTCCCGTCACTCACTCCATTTCCAGCCACTTCATCTACTTCCCATATGGAATTGGTGCTCTTCCAGCTGTTGCGCTGGTGGTGAATCCCAGAGTGGGTAGATCTGTGTACCTTCTAAGTCTATGCAGGCTCTTTAAATGGACTCTCATGAAAACTTGGCCATTTCTTCCACTGCCCCGACCCCCACTGGTTTTTACAGCCAGAAGTTATGGCGATTTATTATCTCCCTGGTGCTGGAACCCTGGGCAGTTTTGCCTGAGGCTGGGATCACTCACTCCCAAGGTATCCCACCTGAGTTTCAGCCACCACATATGAATGTGGGGCCACCCATTCCACCACTGCTGCTGCTGCCTCTTCGCACCACACTGCATCTCGTCACCTCTCCACCTGTCTGGACAACTCTGTCCCTCCTACCCTCTGGATGAATGTGACTTCTTTAAATCTTTCATTGTCAGATTCCATACAGCTCGATTTTCTGATGGTTCTGGTTGTTTTGAGAAATAGTCATAATCTCTCTGTGGTTGCGTGAGGAGACGAAACATGTCTACTTATGCCTCCATCGTGATCATGTATATCGCATCACTCAAATTTCTTAAAGGGAACTGTTATTGCCATGTGTTCCCACTGTATGCCAAAATACATATGGGAACTATCTTTCTGTAGCCCTGATATACAATTAAGAGATTAATAGAAGTACGGATATTTTTCTCTAACAATCTTATCCCAACACAGGTAAAATTATGGTAAAAAGTGCCTTTACCATGTTGTACCTTCACCATGTTGTACCTTCACCGTGCATAACTGTACTGAACTCAACGTGCTGCTGCTGCATAAAACTGTGATGACTGTTAGAATCTCCTATCAGATGGAGGGCTCTCTCAGTGCAGTCTTTGTCTTAATCATTTTTGGATTCTAAACACCAAAAGTACTCCAACTGGTACAAGGTAGAAGCATAGTAAACTCTGGTTAAATAATACAGAAAAAAAGGAGAGGGAGGGAGAAAAGAACATCTGAGAGGGTTCAAAAAGTAACTCATGACTAATTTTTATTTCATTTAATTAGTTTATTCCCTTGCCTTACTTCAAAAAGGATTTAAGAAGGCTATAATCCCTGGTATTGTCAACAAGGTAGTCTAATACATAATGTCTAATTGTGGTTAAGTAAGCACTTCCATTAGTATTTCCTGAAACTGAATTAACAGATAACATAACGCATTCAGAAAATGTCATTAATAAGCACACTTCGATAAAATTTGAAGCTCATCTATTTTTAATGAACCAATAAAACAAGGGAGATTTTCAATAAAAAAATTCAAATGCATCCAAGCTTAATTTTTTTTTCTCCTTAATCACCAAAAACTCCTCTCTAAAATGAGCTCTATTTTTGAGCTCATCTGTATCAGTGGGAAATAAGTTAAGAGTCTTCACAACTCTTAATCATAAACAGATTCACACGCACACAGAGCACATGTCACATTCACAGATTTTCATTATCTAAACGTTGTTCTCAGTAAGAAAATATGGATTGTGCCTAGAAGATATAGGGACCACTGCTTACTTTCAAGACATCAGTTGGATTGGCAATGGCTGAAGATATGACTCCAGAGAGAATTCCACAGACCACATTAATCAGAAGGGTTTCATCTGTAAACAAAGATATTAGCTGACTTTTCATACATACAGAACTCTTCATGTGAATAACCCAAATACAGTTGTAACTCATTTACATACCACTTGTTCCTCTTAAGAGAATAAATAAGTGTATACTTTATGAATCAAGTAATTTTTAAAGGACTGGGAATTTTGCTGGCTAAAGGGATTTTACTTTACAAAATTTCTTGCAATCTATAAAGGAATGTGAATTATCAAAGTAAGTAACCATCTGCCCATTCAATTTTGTGTGTAAATGAAGGCCACTGTAGTAATTAAGACAAGGTATGTCTGTCAGGAGAACTAAAAAAGACAAACTCCTATGAGGTAATGTGGGAACAAAGTTTTAAAGCATACCTTATATATTTAATTTAAAGTACAATGAAGCACTTTCAAAGCATTGTACCTCCTGTTCACTACTCTCACCTAAGAGTTAACTGGTGCTTGCCCCTTTGTAAAAAGAGATAAGGTTCTATGGATTAAAGGAAAGTCAAAGAGTCACCAGCACTAGAGTATAGAAACCCAGTTCTTGTATTCACTGCTTTTCTGAAATATAGATGATAATTCCTATGATTTTAGAAAATTTTAAGTTGGCTAGAACTGTAACAACATATCCTCTAGTCCAAACATTTTAGAAATGATTATAACTAATTAAAATGTTTGCTCCTTTTTAAGTGTTATACTCCTAAATTCAGCTGGTAACTGACTTTCTATAAACACAATTCATTTAAACTTTTCACTTACAGTTCTCTTCAACAGCAATAAAGTCACAAGTAAACTAAAGAAAATTTTATGCAAAACCACTTGAATAAAAAAGACCAACAGCCCTGGCAAGTGTGGTTCAGTGGATTGAGTGCCAGCCTGCAAACCGCAGGGTCGCCAGTTCGATTCCCAGGCTAGGGCACAGGTCTGGGTTGTGGGCCAGGTCCCCAAATAAATAAATAAAATCTGTTAAAAAAAAAAAGAGAGAGAAAGAGAGACAAGCAACCCACCTCCTGTTTACAAGTGGAAAAAAAAGATTCCCCACTGACCTTCTGAGTGTTCAACAAATAATCGCTTCAAACTCTGGTAAGTACCTATCTTGATGGTGCCATAGGAAGCCTGGCGTAACATCGCAGGGGCAATCCTGTCAAACCAGAGTACAAAGGGGCAAAAAAAAAATTATAAAAATCACTTAAAATCCTCTAAAAGACCCACAGGCAGAGATACAATCACTCATTCGTCCTCCACAAACTACACTAAAACAGATGTCTTAAAATTAAAAATCCAACAAAAACACATATATAGGGATAATCAAAATAGCATATAAATACTTGAGCAAATTATTATTTCAGTAAATGAAAGCTCAGCCTGTCGTATTTATTCACAATGGAACTATGTGAACATGTGGTTCTATATACCCATTCATGTTAAAATGAAAGGGCTTTCCTTTCTCAATATGAAGCACCTGGTGAAATGTGGCTTTGGAAACATCTATCATTCTTAACTAGTGTTCTAGAGCTCACCTCTTTGGGGGTCCTGTTTCAGTTATTTCCTCTCCCTCCCATTACCCTACCTGACCCTAGAGCCACACTGTGGCATCTGTACTCCCCAACTCTTCCTGCATTTCCCACTTCCTTCTTGAATTGCAGTCTGGCTTCCCTTCACCTCCTCCATCAAAACAGGTGGCCAACTGACATCTTTGTTACTAAATGATGCTTTTCAATTAGCATCTTATATAACATCTTGCAGTATTTGCTATTTGCACATTTCTCCTCCCTGAGCTGCCAAAACATTGCCCTCTCCCATTTCTTTTCTTTCCTCTATATTATCCTACCTCTGTCCTCTGGGATTTCCCAGAATCTGTCCTATGCTTTCATTTCCCCTTGCTCCACACATTGCCTGGGTGAGCACATCTATTCCCATGGCTTTCTTTAACTGATGATTCCTAAATTCATGTTTCCAATACTGATCCAAAGATACATTTCTAACTCTTCCTAATTTCTCAAGTCACATGTAATACACCTACCTACCTACCTACAACTGAACTATCTTCCTTGTCTAAACAATAAACTCTCCTCTTGTTCTCTAGACCACGGAATGAAATTTTCCATCTAGTCAATGGCTGAAACCAGAAATCGAGACATTAGCCATGTCTCCTCCTTCCCCACAAACCCCCTCATGTATTAGATCAAATAATATGCCAACCCTATGCACTAAATAGCTTTCTAGACTGCCTTCTTTCCCTCCATCCCCAGGACAACCCCTCAGGTCAGATCCTTGTCATCTCTGCTTCCTACCTGATGACCTGCTTCCAGCGTTACCAGTCTCTAATTCTTTCTCCCAATGGCAGGCAGGTATCTTTTTACAGTGGAACCTAAATGTGGCAGGTGCTCTACTCAAAACTCTTCAGTGACTCCTGTCTGTCACAAGCACAGCAAACTCAAGTACTTACAGGTACTAGATAGAAGTCATAGTGAGTACAATGGGCTGTATCTAACTGTACATACATATACCATGTAAGTGGCAGAGGTTTGGGTAAATCAGAGAAAGCATTAACTGCAGTTACTATTATCGTAAGTGAATGAACGTGGGCCCAGATGTTTTCTCTGAGAAGACTGAATCTCAGGTTTTTATGTGCAGTTTCTCAAATTTAAAATATTGGTTCAACTGAAAAACAAAATCCTTCAGGGACTGGTGGGTGGGAAGGCTGTAAGGCACCAATTTGGGACAGAAATCAAGGTGCTTAGCATGGCCCAAGGTTGTCCATGTTGTAACCCTTTATTAGCACTCCCAACTCCACCTCTTGCTATTCACCAACTCCCACACTATATCCATGCTGAATTACTTGCAGTTTCTAGAATGCACCATGCTCTTGCACAGACTACTGGTTCTGCAGGAAAATAATTCCTCTCTAACTTCACCTGGGTAACTCGTCTTGCTCCTTCAAGAGCTGGTGTCTCCTGAATTGAGCAGCTTTCCTGAAAACCTGCCTCCTCCCTCATCCCCGCTGTCAGTGACTGATACCTCTACCAGATATCTAGTACTTATCAGACTCCAATGTAATCCCCTGTGTACTCATCGGCAGCCCCCCAAGCAAACAGTTCCTTCAGGACACTGTGCTTTCTGGCTGATCCCTGTTTGTCCTCTCAGATCCATTCTCACCTTTCTCTGTTCTGCTCTGTGCCCTGTGAGGCTGGTGCCTACGGACTACATCACCCAGTCTCCCCTGCCAGCTGACTTTCAGGTGGATTCACCCCAGAGAAGATGGGAGGGAGGGAGGAGTAAGAAGTAGAGGTATTTCTTCCTCTCCCTGGGCACCACCAAAGCATATCTTGACAACTACTGTTGATTCCTTCAAGGCTCCAGTCCTGGCAGGCTCTGCTAAACTATTCCCATCCTTGGGGTGCTAACAATTTCTCACTTTGCTAGTTATTAGGTACCTCAATATCCTTCATTTGTTCCCCTAGCCCTTAAGTAGCCCCTGTACTAATCTCTGTTCATTTAAATCACCCAAATGAATTCTGCTTTTTGCAGGCACTCTGGCTGACATAGGTAGGACGCTGTCTTAACTTTCCTACCTAGTGCCTACCACACGCTGTATATCAGATGTTGAATTAAAGAAAAGTAGTTCACTGCAACTTTTACCCATGGAGAATGCTGTATGTATCATTTTTCAGTACGGCAAAAAACTTTGTAATTCATAATAGCCAGGGGGAAGAGCTATTTTCAGGGTAAAACATTAAATTACAGGATTTTTTTAAAAAACAAAATGTAATTTTATGTTATTATCTGTATTTGAATATAATAAAAACATAGTTTCAGCACAACATTCACTACATAGAATACATATAAATACAATAAAATTGACATTAAAAATAAAAAAATCAACCATGTTACTTGCTCTTTTTAAATACACCTCAAACTTTTTCTTTTTCTCTATGAAATCTTAGTCCGAAAGACTTTCATCTGAAATGTCAGCAGTAAAACATAAACATATAAAGGTCACTTACCCAGAATACAATGCTTTCAGGCCTTCTTCTCTGCCTATCCTCACTAATGCATGCAACATTCCTCGATACCTAATTTCTTTCAAGTTCGTGTCATTCGTCTGGCCTTGAATCTGGAGCCGTGTCTTGGTTAAATCAATTGGAAATGTACCTTAAAATTTTAAAGAAATATTTCACTTAATAAAACAAAATCTAAGAATACATAGTGACGTATTACTGAAGAGACATATAGACTGTAATGTAAATTAAGATACTTTGCAATATTTTTTCTATTAAAAAATGGGAACCAAAAGAGCAAAATAACAAAAAAAGACAAAAATATATTTTCCTTTATTTAGATTTTAATTTATTCTACATAGGATTTAAGGAAACTGCATTGCTGTAAATAGTAGATACATGGAATGATTTTGACCACCAGGAAACCATTTTAAAATGTTATTTTTTAACATATGTGAAGGCTAAAATTGGGTTCATCATGAATGAAGAGAGATAAGTTAATTTCTAAAGAGTTTCTCACTTTGTGTTCTATAGTATAAAAGCAAATCTGTTAATGTAAGTATAAAGTTTAATATAGTGCCTAAGAGATAATCCACCCAACTATGTGAAACTCATACTCAGTAAAAGTGATTTATTGTGTGGGTGGATGGTTAATGCACCTCAACCCTGGGGCACTGGTCCTCACTAGCCCCTCAGAGGCAGCCTTTCTCCCAGGACAGCAGTGACTGAGCCCTGGAAGGTAATGAAGTGTCCCACCCAGCACCTGACACTCAGGCAGCTGCTCAATCAGTATTTGTTCAATGAATGATTCCAGGGAAGGAATAAAGTAATAAATAGGACCTTAACTAATGAAGAAGTCACAAATAGGATATAGATCATGTGCATTATCAGAAAGTGACAGCATAATGATAGTCAAATTTGGCTCAGGGAAGACCTTAGAGCTCCTCAAACTTCTTTACAGTCAAATGTGTTACAGGTGGAGACAAAGCAGGGAAAAGACAAGGAAAACAAGATTGATGTAATTCAAAAATGATTAATAAAACTTCTGTTTGGTCAACGAGTTCAACTTCCTCCCTACTAAACTTTGAACTCTAAAGTGCCAATAAGTAGCCAAAACGACTATTTTGTTTAAAAAAAAATACCATAAGAAGAGAATTTTGAATTCTGAAATTAATGTTTCATAATCTCCTATTCTGTGCTTGAACTACATTCACAAACACCAATCATGACCTTAGGTTCTAATCATCGTCACAAACAGCAGGTAAATTGACCAGACTCAAGCACTTGGGCTCCTTACCGCATTCAGCTGTGATGGAGGCCAACCCCCCATACACAAAGGCCTTCCAGTTGAGGGCAGACATTCTCACCACTGTCCCTTCTCCTTTGATTCACAGAAATAAGGCCTCCGACAGGGTTTTTTCCTGGGAACAAAAGAAAGACATTTCAAAGTTGGAACTTCTCACACAGGCAGTTTCTCCTTTCAAGTTGTGTTTCATTTGGAGAGTGCTATCAGATGCTATCACTGACACTCCCCTGCAACAATGCCCAACAAGTCTGGGATGGGAAGGAACCTTGCCTCAATTAAAAAAAAAGCACCCTTATCTACTAAATCCCAAATCAGCAACTACTATTCTCTATCAGTTGCCTAATTCTCATTCAGGCCTTACATAATCCAGTATACTGATACTTTGATATGTGTGGATGTATTCAGTGTAGGACAAAGGAGACTATTTTCTCAGTATGGGTAGTCTATTTTATCTTAAATCTGTTCTTCAGTATTTGCTATTTGTCAGTGTCTTAGTGAGTCCCTCCTGGGAGGTACTGAAGTCCCTCAGGTGCACTGGAGAAAAAAAGAAAAAAGCTGCAATCCAGCATCACAAGGTAAAATGACAACTGCTTAAAATTACCAAAATATATTTCTCACATCACACTCTATAAACGTTAGCTCTCTTCTCTTACCCATATTATGTAATGGCTGGGGGGCGGCTTGGTATAGAGGAAAGAGACAAACTCTGGGGTCAGAGCCACAACACCTCCTTTCAAGGGAAGCTCCTGTTAATTTCTAAGTTTTTTCCTTCATTAACAACATCATCATCATCATCATCATCAATCATCATCAAAGTGGCCAACAAAACCAACTAGGGATAGAAGCCATACTTTTATTCACTAAGCTAAATAAAATACTTAGCTTTTAGACCTATTGTGGGGATTAAATATATAATTTTAAACTAGTACAAAAGACATTCAACAAATGCTTCCATCCTCCTCTCCCTTAATAGGTCAGGTTGCACTGAGACATATACTCACATGCCTGCCACAGCCAGGTCCCCCACATTCATTATATGTTCTGCAGTTTCATACAATGTTACTTGGTAACTACAGCCTCATGTCCATTAACAGGTAATACATGCAAGTCAACACACTTCTGTGTACATACTATCAAGTATAATTATTGTTGGTTTAAAACAAAATTTCTAATTTATTAGTCATTACTGGCAAAGAATATGCCCAATGTTTCTTCTTTGCATGTTTTAGGAATTTCCCAAGTCTACATTTCCCAAGAGAGGCCTACCATAAATCACTATTGACAAGATTGTCAGTTTTCAATAAAGTCAGGCACGTGGCTTGCTTAAACTAAGAGAAAATACAAGGAACCCAAAGGGGACACTAAATACATCTACCAAAGCTATTCCTCATTTATAGACATTAAGCAAATTCAGAATAGTTACAAATGAGTGAGGGAGAAGGCTCCCTAAGCATAGAACTAGAAAATCATTATATGCTTTATGTATTTCAGTACCAAGAATAAGCCCTGTCCCTAAAAATTAATCTCCCTATTATCCTTGAAAACATTCAATTATCTGTACTTAACTAATTTGTAGCTTTAATAAACTCTTTATATTAGTTATAATATAAAAATTAACTGTAAATTATAGACTGTAAGAACACATTAATAATAAATCCAATAATTCATTTACTGTCCAGTGGTACCTTCCTCAACCCCTTGTTGGATTTTGCTGAATCAAAGTTAAAAACAAAATGATGACTACATAACAATAACATACGGAAGTGTTCAATACAAATGATTTCGGTGGATCCCCTCAACAAGTGCGGGATAAAAGGACAGGAAAAAAAAGACCAGGAAGCCATGTCTCAGGGGGCAGTACAGAGCTGGGCTTCCAACCCCAAGTTTCTGATTCCAAGTGCAGAATTCCTTCTGCTGTCACCTGAGGCTGTACCAGGGGTGTCCAACCTTTTGGCATTTCTGGGCCACGCTGGAAGAAGGGTTGTCTTGGGCCACACATTAAATACACAAACACTGATGAAAACTCATGAGCAAAGAAAAGCTTTTAAGCAAATTTATGTTTTGTTGGCGTGCATTCATAGCCATCCCGGGCCACGGGTTGGACAGTTATAAAGGAGTGACAGTGTTTTAATTAAGGAGAAAATATTACTAAGCAGCTTTGAAAAGGTGCCGCTGATAAGGTGCATATTATAAACAATAAAAATGTGCTTAATTTAAGAAAAAAGGCTTAAGAAAAAGTATTCAGAAAGCAGTCAACCTAAACAGGGATAATTTATTCTTCCAACACAACATAGTGTTCACATGATTCTTTCTTACAAGATATTTTTACCGAGATGAAATTCACATACAATAAAATAAACCACTTCAGCAAACACTTCAGTGACACTTGCTACATTCACAATGTTGTGCAGCCACTACATTTATCTAGTTCCAAAATACTTCATCATACCACAAGAAAACTATTAAGCAGTTGGCTCCCCATTACCCCCTCTCCCTGGTCCCCATATGATTATTTTCTTGGCTGTGATACTACAAATGCATCAAGCATCTGTGCGGAACATAGAGAACTTAGTAATTCCTAACCTGGCTGCAGAGCTTCTTAAAAATACAGACACCAGGGTTCCATCTAAAGAATGTGCATCTCAGAGACATCCCAAGCATCTGTGTTCTTACTGAAAATCAATGAGGTAAAAAGATTACGGCCAATTCACATCTTGGAATACTTACTTATCACTGAAATTCCTGTTTTAAGTAGTTAATTCTCAAAGGCGACAATATATAGTTCATTCTTTTTATTCATCTTATTAATGATTTTTTTCTATAGTGAATGTCTATATATTCATTTATATGGACGTGTGTGTGTGTGTGTGTGTGTGTGTGTGTGTGTGTGTGTGTGTGTGTGTGTAGAGGGTAAAGATACCCTCTAAAATGTCAGCAAAAACTTATGGGAAATGGGATTATACTAACTTCTAATTTAAAAACTTTTTTTATTTTTTAATATATTTTATTAATTATGCTATTACAGTTGTCCCATTTTTTTTCTCCCCTTTACTCCCCTCCACCCTGCACCACCCCCCAGCAGAATTCCCTCTCCCTGCCTAGTTCACATCCAGGGGTTATACATGTAAGTTCTTTGGCTTCTCCATCTTCTATACTATTCTTAACCTCCCCCTATTTTGTACCTACTATTTATGCTTCTTAGTCCCTGTACCTTTTCCCCGATTCTTCCCTCACCCCCTCTCCTCTGATCCCCATTTCTGTGATTCTGTTCCTATTATAGTTGTTTGCTTAGTTTTGGGGGGCGTTTTTTTCCCCTTAGGTTCAGTTGTTGATAGTTGTGACTTTGTCATTTTACTGTTCATAGTTTTTGATCTTCTTCTTCTTCTTAGGTTAGTTAAGTCCCTTTAACATTTCATATAACAAGGGCTTTGTAATGATGAACTTTAACTTGACCTTATCTGGGAAGCACTTTATCTGTCCTTCCATTCTAAATGATAGCTTTGCTGGATAGAATAATCTTGGATGTAGGTCTTTGCCTTTCATGACTTTGGAATACTTCACTCTAGCCCCTTCTTGCCTGCAAGGTTTCTTTTGAGAAATCAGTTGATAGTCTTATGGGAACTTCTTTGTAGGAAATGTCTCCTTTTCTCTTGGTGCTTTTAAGATTCTCTCATCTTTAATCTTGGGTAATGTAATTAGGGTGTGCCTTGGTGTGTCCTTCCTTGAGTCCAACTTCTTTGGGACCCTCTGAGCTTCCTGGAGGTCTATTTCATTGGCCAGACTGGGGAAGTTTTCCTTCATTATTTTTTCAAGTAAGTTTTCAATGTCTGGCTCTTCCTCTTCTCCTTCTGGCACACCTATGATTCACATGCTGGAACATTTAAAGTCATCCCAGAGGTTCCTCAGGCTCTCCTCATTCTTTTGAATTCTTGTTTCTTCATTCTGTTCAGGTTGAATTTTCTTCCTTCTGCTCCAAATCACTGATTTGAGTCCTGGTTTCCTTCCCTTCACTGTTGGTTCCCTGTATATTTTTCTTTACTTCACTTTGCATATCCTTCACTTTTTCCTCCATTTTGCAACCACATTTCTGTGAGCACCCTGATTACCAGTGTTTTGAACTGTGCATCTGATAGGTTGGCTATCTGTTCATCGCTTAGTTCTATTTTTGGAGCTTTGATCTGTTCTTTTATTTGGGCTTTATTTCTTTGTCTTAGAGTGCCTGTTACTTTGGAAGGGGTAGAGCCTAAGGTATTTGCAAGGGCTGGGCAACCCAGGTCTCTGTGTTGTGACTTTGTATGCAGGGGAGGGGTCTGAGAGGGATCACTGTCACTTGCTCTCCTCTCGACAGGATTTCAGTCATTTCCCCCACTACCCACAAGCAAATTGGGTCCTTCTGGTGCTGATGCCCTGGTGGATGGGTCTGTATACATTCTAGGACCCTATGGGTCTCTCCAGTGAAATCTCCCACGAGGCTGGGAGTTTCTCCCACTGCCGCAACCCCTACAGGTTTTTTACAGCCAGTGGTTTTGAGGCCTTCTTTTCCCACAATGGCAACCTGTGTTGCGTGGGCTGTCTCACTCCCCAGCTATTCCTCCTGATTTATCCACATGCAAATATGGGACCTCCCTGTCCGCCAGCTGCTGCCTCACTCACATGGTCCTCCAGCCACTGCTGCCACACGTCCTCTCCACCCTGGCTGCCCGTCTCCGCCCCTCTTACCAGTCTGCATGAATGTTTCTTTAACTCCTTGGTTGTTGGACTTCCATACATTTCTATTTTCTGGCAGTTCTAGTTATTTTTTGTTTTTCAATTTGTTGTTGTCTTTCTTATGGTTGTGCGAGGAAGCAAAGTGTATGTACCTACACTTCCATCTTGGCCAGAAATTAAAAACAAAGCATTTCTTGAAGAGAAAAAACTAATGGACTGGGACAACAGTGTGGTAACAGGGGTGAGGGGGAGCAGAAGGCATGGAGGAGAGTATGGGGGGATAAATGGTGATGCAAGGAGACTTGACTTGGGGTGGTGAACACACCATACAGGGTAGAGATGATGTGTTGTAGAATTGTGCACTTGAAGCCTATATAATTTTGTTAACCAGTGTCACCTCAATATGGTCAATAAAAAGGAAAAAACAAAAATAAATAAGATAAAAACATTTTTAAAGACTATATTGTCATAAGACCTCAGGCCATTTCACTGATTAACTTCTTGGTTTCCTGCCACTACATTTTTGTTTTGCTAGTTTAGTTTTAATGAGATTTGGCTACTTTTTCTTCTGTTGGTTTTGCTATTAAGTTTTTAGTTAGATTACAACCCAGAGGTTCTGGGTTATATTTATCTGTAAATACTCAACAAAAGCTCAAAGTTGCTGGGGAATTGCCTCCACATGGTTTTAAATGACATGGGATGGTGCACCCACCCATTAGTTACTATTCAGATGCACAGCTGCAGATAAGTGTCCACCCCTGCATCCCGAGTTAAACTCTAAGAAAATACTTTCTGTTCAATCACAATTTTAAAAAATTAGCTAGGAAGAGAGAGAAAAAAACTTCGGGTTCTTCTCTGTTCCTTTCCAAATGCTAAGCCTAGACCTCTGAGCACTTAATAGTACTGCACCTTCCCAAGTTAATGTTTGTTATGTCTAAGAATAATAATTTGGTTTAGATAACAGAAGGAATCTGCAGTTGATCAAACATCCAAATAAGAATGGGTTCTAGCAAAGACTGGAATGTCCAGTAAAGTACAGGGCTGACCACACTCAGCTGAGACAGGGCTTGTTATCTTAGGCTGAAATCTCTGTTCTGTAATCAAAACCATTTTTGTTTTTGAGCTCTTGTCGGAGGGGTTCTCCATCACACACATTCCTTAAATTCCTAGCACAGCCTTGGGGAAAAATCCCAACTCTGATGAAGTGCCAAGACCGACAGGCCAACAGAGTCAGGAAGATTGACGTGTCCTTCGCAGTTACTAGTGTTTGGGCCACATTGTGCAGCCTGAGCTTCATGGAAGGGATTACAACTTGGTAAAAGTTCCTCTGTCAGGTATAGTAGTGGCTGTCAATCACTTTGCACTTCTCTTTATGCACCTCTAACCTGACTAACACTTGTAGACCAATTTCCTTTGCTGCCTTCTGAACACAATACTAACAACAGATGTGAATACTTTATATCTGATATGTCAGGCATGGCTGTACCTTTTCCATTTAAAGGATTTTATCACAACTTCATGAAACAAGTATAATTATCCACATTTCACAATTGAAGAAATACAGCCTCAAAGAGGAAAAGTGACTTTCCCTACTCACATAGCTATTAAGTGCTCAAACTAAGGTCTCCTTGAAGGAACCATGATCTTTCCTCTATTACTACAAAGCCAAACACTATCTTCCAAAGGCCATTAAAAAGTATTGGCCTATGGGCAAGTAGGGAATTCTGAACATCCAGAATAAATGTAAGATTTTCTTGCAGGAGAAATACGAACTAGTTTTTTTAAGTGTTACCTGGCTGTAAATGTCTATACAAATGATGAATTCCAAAGGATTCTCTCTACACTTAGAAAGTATGCTAAATTACATATCCTTTCGACTATATTTTCTCTTATTTTAACAGTTATTTCTTCCTTACCATATTTGTACAGCTGCAAAGAAGGGTTAATTCTCTAACATAATTAATTCTGGATAAGCTTTTTCAATTTTTTTTTGTGTTCCCTTTTCAGTCCGCAGTCCTAAACTGTAATCATGTCTGCAAAGTTCAGTGAGCTCATAAATCCTTGTTCCCCGCAGTACTGCCTTTCATGAGTGTTTCCTATTTCCCATTCTTTTTAAGGGCACAGGAAGAAAAATACGCTCATCAGACTTAAAAATGTGAGATGTAAAAGGAATATTAGAAATTATATCTCACTTTGCATAATTAACTGATCCCATGGTGACAAAACTTGGCAACCACAAAGCCTAAATCAAAATTCATGGCTTTCAACTTTTCTCACCACTTGAGGAGGACGAATCTAGACTCTGCCGGCAATGCCGACATTATTTTGCTATTCTTGCGCAGGAACAATAATGCTGTTCATTGCAACTGCTTTACATGAAATTACTTACACCTAGAAAGACGCTGAAATCCAGAGCTACTAACTTCCCCAGCAAATGAATGCAACCTGTCCTTCCGAACAGGAGCCGACCGTGCGTGTTCCCGGAGCAATTCAAAGCACAGCGTGCCCTTTCCCAGAGCAGCAGCTCGCCGGCTGCAGGGGCTGAACACTCTGAGTCAGGCGCAAGCGGCAGGGGTGCAGAGGCCGGCGAAACACACCGCGGAGGCAAGAGTTGTCAAACCGGCCTCAGGCTCGGATCTCAGCGACGCCGGAGAAGTCACCCCACACCGCCAGGCGATGAGGACTTGGGGCCGAAGCTCCTGAGGAACCCGCCGAATTGCGAGCAGCTGGGCCCCAGTGCGGAAACTCGCGCCCCACCGTGCCGGGCCCAGCACGCGAACCCGAGGGCAGAAACGGCCCCGAAGCACGCCCGGCCGCGCCGGGTCTCTCCCACACCGCAGTTCCAACCACAGTCCCAGCACCGAACCCCAGCCGTCCCGAGAGGCCCCGCCGGCTGGTTCCTGGAGCCGCTGGGAAGGGCGAAGGGCCGAAGGGGGGGCGACGCAGAGCGCGCGTTGACCGGCCAGCGCCGCCACAGCCGGGTGGCCAGGAACTTACCGGCCGGCGCCGAATCTGCACCTTGTGCTACCCAAGCCTTGCTAAGTAGCAGAAGCCGCCAGCTGCCCGGAAGCTGAAGGAAAAGCAGATGGGCACTGGGACGGACCAGAAGCCCGCGCGCAGCCCCGCCCCGGCCCGCCCGCAGTACTGGCTTCCATTGGCCTCTCTTGCCGCTGCCCCGCCCAGCCAGGCCCATGGTACCGGCTGCTTGCTGGTCGGGAAAGAACCGGGCACCCTGAGTTGGCTTCCCACCGCCCAGCTTAGCCGTAGCACAGGCCTCGGAGCGCCTGCTGAGGTCTCCGAGCTCAGTTTTGCGGTGAAAGAGAAACCTAGAGAATGTAGAAAGCTACGGAAAAGGAGCCTTCTCAGGGGGCTGATTCTTCCTGCCCTCTGAAAGTAGTGAACTTGCACTCCTTTTTAAAAAAATTTTTTTTATTTTTCAGTTACAGTTAACATTTAATATTATATTAGTTTCAGATGTACAGCCTAGTGGTTAGACATTTATATAACTTGGGAAGCATTTCCCATAAGGCTAGTACGCACCTGGTACCGTGCATAGTTATTAGAACACCACTGACTATATTCCCTATGCTGTACTTTATATTCTCTCCTATTTTCTGCTTACCAATCTGTATCCTCCCAAACCCCCTCCCATCTGGCAACCGTCAGTTCGTTCTCTGTACCTATGAATTTGTTTCTGTTTGTTCCTTTCTTTTGTTTTTTAGATTCCATATATAGGTGAAAGCATGGTATTGGTCTTTCTCTGACTTATTTCACCAAGCATAATACCCTCTAGGTGGGTCCATGTTGTCTCAAAAGGTAAGATCTTCATTTTTAGGTCTACTGATATTCCATTGTATGTATGTACCACAGTCTTATTTACCCATTTGTCTACTGATGGGCACTTAGGTTGCCTCCATATCTTGGCTATTGTAAATAAGACTGCGATAAACACAGCGGTGCATATACACTTTTGAATTAGTTTTTTGGATTTCTTTAGCTGCATACCCAGAAGTGGGATTGCTGGGTCATATGGTGGCTCTATTTTTAAACTGAGGAACCTGCATACTGTCTTCCATAATAGTTGAACCAATTCTGCACTTTTTTTTTTTAACCCAGCTTTTTAGTTTCAAATTTACAAACCAACTGAGGAGTTACAAGCATGATCCTATGAATAGCATACCCTTCACTAAATGCTAACGTTTCACAACATTTGTGTTTTCTCTCACTATATAGGTTTTGTTACTATTGAACCACTGGAAAGTTGTGAACAACACTGCTTGACCCCTAAATACCTCACCATTATCACATGCAAGAAATCTTAATACCATTTCAGTCATATCATTCAGTATACCATCTACATTGAAATTTCCTTTGTTGTCCCAAAATATCATAACCACACACACTTTTTTTCAATTCAGGATCTACCCAGCAGTGACTTGTTGCTTTTGATTTCACACCTCTGTACAAACTCCTTTAGTCTAATACCCTAGTGCTAGTACTCACAGGTTAAAAAAAAAAAAAAAAGTCCTTCATAACTTTGACATATTTGGAAAGTCCAGGACAATTGTCTTATAGATTGTGTCAGTTTGGATTTATCTACTTATTTCATCATCATTAGATTCAGATTAAACATTTTAGTAAGAAATGATGCTGTGTACTTCCGTAGGGAAGCACAACGTCATTTTGTCCCATTATCCATAATGCCAAGTTTGATCACTTGGTCAAGGTGTGGTCTGGCAAATCTCTCCACAAAGATACCTATGTCCCTCTGCAACAGCTAATACCTGGAGTGATAGGCTGACCAGTTTGGGGTAACACATTGATGAACATGTCACATTGGTTATAATTTTCTAATTCTGTTATTCCTCGTACATTTACTAACAATCATTCTTGCCTAAAGAAGTGTTCCCTCCCCCTTTCTTTCCTTTTCCCTTTTTTTCTTTTCTCCTTATCTTCCCCTTCACAACTCCCCTCCCCCTCCTCCTTTTCAAATAACAGTGTGGACTGCTAGATTCTTTTTCATTCACTTATCATAATCAAATATCATTATCTTTTTGGAGTTCAAATTACCCATATTTGGCCAGTGGGATATTCTTTGCTTTCTGACACAAGACCTACTAGCTCTCATTGCATTTCCTTTGCCCTATGCAGAGAAACCCTAGTTCCTCTTAGTAGGAAATGACACTTAGAAATTAGATCTGAGTACTTGGTGTGCTCATTGCTACTGGGATAATATTTCTTCTAGGCCCTTTCAGTGAACAAAACATATTGGGTGGGCAGAAAAGTCTGTTTAGTTTTTTACATAAAGTAAAAGACACACTTTTCATTTTCACCAATAATTTTATTGACTTGGGTATTTTGAGTATGTAGGGTATCTCCCATTATTGGCTTCTAATGGGTAGAGGCCAGGGGTGCTGCTAAACATCTTCCAATGTGTAAGACAGCCCCACAGCACAAAACTATTTGGCTAAAATGTCAATAGTATCAAGAAACTTCGCAAACCACTTTTGACGTGTTTGATGAGTCACAGCAACTTCTCCATACACTGCCCAAATCTTTTTTGTGTTTCAGTTGTATTTTCTCTTTCCTGAAATAATAAAGCATAATAGGAGAAAAATGTTGCACATTTCCTTCCATATCAAAATGGCTGCATGACAGCTGCCAGATGGGAGAGGGTGTAGGGAAATGGGTGAAGAAGTGAGGGGATTAAGAAGTACAAATAGGTAGTTACAGAATAGCCATCATGATGTACAGTACAGTATAGAAAATGGAGTAGCCAGAGAATTTACATGCGTGACCCTTGGTCATGAACAATGGTGTGGGGATTGCCTGCAGGAATGGGGGGTGCTCTGGGCAAAGGGGGAAAAATCATGACAACTGTAATAGCATAATCAATAAAATATAATGTAAAAAAAGTAAAATGGCTACACAAAAATTCACCAATTTTCATAAGTTTTTTAAATGCACTCTGATATGACAGCTGTTGCAATACAATCTACCAAAATTGTTTCCAGTGAACCAAAGACAACTGAGCACTAATGGAGCCATCATATGGAAAAAACTAAACCAACCTTTGGGCCAACCCAGTATATACATATTCATATAGATACATAGAGATACAGATATAAAACAGTAAACATTATACCCTTCATCTGGATATGGTTTTAACATGAGTTCATATTGATACTTCCAATTCAATATCTAACACCATAAGATTGTGGATAAAAAAGGGGTCCCATACTAAACCTAATGACCTCAGGGAAGGTCTGCATGGCAGACCAGATGAGAGCAGAGATCTGAAGTAACCACATAGGACAGTCTGAACATAAAAATTCCCCACTCAAAGGGAGTCATGGCAGGTAGTCATGTCCTAGGCCGGGATCTTTCTTGACAAAGTTCAATCTTCACCTTAAGTGAGCCTGTCTATTGTCTTTTTCCATTTATGATAACATACTTTTGGAATGCCAGAGTAATCCCCTTTTTTCCCAAACCCCGCAGGGCATAATCCCCCACCAGAGTTTGAGACCACAGGCCACAGGAACTCCTCATTGCTATCCTGTTGCCCAAATACCATCTCTATATGCTGTAAATGTTATTTGTATACTATCCTATAACCACCAATGTAAAAGTATTGTCTCTCCACTTTACTCTTTACCCAATCTCAGAGATTTCCCCCACTTTATTTTCTCCCGCTTCCCTAATCTACTACCAATAAATTCCATGAAACCCCCCTCTATCTCCTCCTTTGGTTGTAATGTATAAGGTAATCTCCAAAACTGCCAATCTCTGGAGCATTTTCTCAATCCACAGAGATTTTGCTTCTCGGAAATTTATTTGGCTCAAATAAACTCACAAAAATTCTCTGCAAGTTTAGACATTTCTTACAATGACAGGATTCATTCTAAACTTTCCCTTTCCATGTATATATCTTCCTTCACCGACAGCGAAAGCCCTGGTTCATGTCAGCATCAATAGATTTACTCAATTATTCTATCCTGCAATATACAATATACACAGAATAGTTGAGACTTGTACATCAACACTACTACCGGCAACAAACCTTCTAAGTTCAAGATTTCTTTGCAGTTCTTTTTATCTTAAAGAAACTTTCCTCTATCCTAAAGGGTCTAATAATCAAATAGACATGACACAGATTAGCAAGAGAAAATAACCAAATTTAATTACATATGTATGGGAACCCCACATACATAAGAGAGTCAGAGACCCCATATTCAAGAAAGGTTCAGGGACAGAAAGTTAAAATGAGGTAGATAAGGCATCCTGAGCTAAGGATGAGGTAAGACACACAGGAGCTTCAGTGAAAAGGAAAGTCATTGCAGAAGAATAGGTTAAAAAAAGTTGTTCAGTAATTAGAAGTCTGCCATGCCCAGTAGATACATCAAAAAATGCTCTCTCTGATAATCTCTTGTTATGTGTAAGTCCCCTAACTTAAGTTCTTGGTGTTTAAGAGGGAGGCAGAGAGTTTCTCTTGAACCCACTGGGTCTTAGTTGCCTTTACCTCAAAACAATCTGCATATCACAGATGCGTATCTTGAGGTGATTCATTCTGAACACCTACAGATATATTCTTCTAAATGGTACACAGAGTACTGTGTTTAAGTTACTTAATTTGCTTTTTAATATGATTATATTATTAATTGAATATATTGTTAGGTTTTTAT